GAGGAAGGGTCACCGGACCCGAAACGTTAACTCTGTTTTCTCCTCCACAGATGCTGCCAGACCTGCTGAGCTTTTCCAGCAACTTTGTTTTTGTTCCTGATTTACAGCATCGGCAGTTCTTTTGGTTTTGGTGAATAAAATTAACAAATTAGCACGCTTTGCAATTTATCATTCAGAAGATTAATGTGTGTGGTTAATTTTGCAATTCTACATTTTACTGTGTGGTGATGCTGCCTTTAAACTTAACGTAATATTTTTCGTGAACAAATAACTCTGACAATGCAAATGTGTTCATATAACTCTGGTTATTTGACCATCTCCAATCATTTTGTTGTCAATGTAGTCCTTTCATTAGATGTTTCGAATTTAGCAGAGTTGAGGTCATCTTTAAAGCTGTTTGCATTTTGAACAACTTTTCTGTACTCCTTGCACTCAAAGTTAGGGTTACAAAATTGTTGATATACTACGCTTAACTGCAGATTCCAAATTGTGTTGCTTAGAACAATTTAATACATGGAAGCATGTTTCAACACAGTAATTAAATGCATAGTTTTTTGCATTATCAATCTGTTTTCCATTCTAGTGTTGAATCCATATTCTGTGTCCCTTCCTTTGTTTTCTTATCACTTCAGCAATTTCAGTAGTCAATGCATATACAACAAATAAATCTTTGACTTGTTGAGATATTTCAGTGAATTCAGTTATGGTGTTTTTTATCTTAAGTCTCTTTGGCAATGGTAGTTGTAAAATAAATTGCATAGCACTTTCACAGAGCAGACATTGTTCATATCTTCAAAATGTGCTCCTTCTGGCTTGATGAATACATCAAACTACTCTGAGCATTAGAAACAAACTGCAGATGACCATCTTGCAATCTAAAGGCAATAGATGAAACTTAGCTTTTAATTTGCTTAGCAAAAATATGATTGTAAGCATAGTTTTATGTCATATAAAATTGCACACTGAGTGAACCGCTGAGCTATTAACTTAATATTTGCTTGAGATGATATTACTGCTGTTGTCACCACATGGCAGAATCAGTGATTGCCCTGTGACTTTACTGATGAGTCTTGTCAACACATATGGTCTTTTTTATTCTTATTATGTTATCCAGAGGCTTAGCTTTACACAGGTCTTATTAATAGATGCCATATTGTTTTTAAATAATTGTCAACATTTGCAAATGTAAAAGACCTGTCTCCATACGGGCAATGGTGGCATAGTTGTGAATTCTTGCAATCTGCCCTGTGATAGATGCCAACACAAAATCTTCATTGGGCAACTGAGGTAATTGTCCAAAGGACAACTTTTATGTAAGAAAATACACCAAAATGCTGTGGCCTTCTAATGTAAATGCAAATAATCCAATGCCATGAAGTAAAGAAGAACAGATAGTTTTTCCAGTGTCCTGATCAATATTACTCCTTCAAACTAGGCCTTGCTGTGTGCAAATTGGGTATGTTTTCTCACATAATAATAATGTCCAAAAGCATGTTCTTCTCTTCCTGTGTGAAAAGCGCCAAAATGAGAAAACCTAGAGTGATTAACTTGGGATTTCAAATGAAAATGGGAGGGTGACTGAGGAAAATAGTTGACATAAAGTCTGAACAGCAGTGAACTATCATGTGGAAGCACCCTTACTGAAATTATTTCAATGTTGCCATTCAAATACTATTTAGATTTTGTGTTCTGTGTCTTAGATGTCTACAAATGCCAATCTGGAAAAGGAAGTGATCTTGACAAAGTCTGGATCTGCTGGAATAATCACATTAAATCGGCCAAAGGCCCTTAACGCTCTGAACCTTTCCATGATCAGACAGATCTATCCCCAGCTTAAGGTTGGTGCCATTTCTTTGTCACTTGCCTGATTTTAAAATCAATGGTGCACAATATCTGGTTTCAAAATAAAGGTGTAAATTAAGTATCTGTTACTTTATCTATGAGCGCATGAATATATTCATTTTTTAGTAGTGCAGTGTTTTATCAACCTATTGAATGCTCCAAACTCAAGCAGTTAATGGCAGCATGTTGCTGAATCACGGAATTGTTACAATGCAGATGACCATTTGGACCATAATGTCTGTACTGGCTCACTAAATGAGCATCATGACTTTGTGCTTCTTCCTTTTTCCTATATCCCTGTTCGTTATTTCTATTTAAGCAATCATAAAATGCTGTTTTGAATACTCGATTGAACCTGCCTGCACCATACTTCCAGGCAGACCATTCTAGACTTGAACCACTCACTGCATAAAGAAAGCTTCCTCTTAAATTGCATTTACTTTCTGCAAATACATTAAAAATAGGTGCTCTCTTGTTCTTGATTCATTTTATGAGCAGGAACAGTTCCTCCCTGTCTAGTCTATCCAAGTATCTTGTAGTTTTGAAAAGTTCAATTGACTCTCCCCTTCGCTGTCTCCTCTAAGGAAAACAATTCCAACTTCTCCGATCAGCCTTCATAACTGAACTTTCTCATCCCTGGAACCAATCTAATAAAGATTGTTTGCACTGTCTCCAATGTGTTCACATCCTTCATAAAGTGTGGTACCCAGACTCTGGCAATGCTGCAGCTGTGGTCTAACTGATAATTTTGTAAAGCAATACTTCCTTCAAACAGCTATCTTCCATCATTGAATGAGTTGATTTTCTGGCACTTTAAATAAAGGTTGCTATTGCTGGTGGTTTAAGTAATTAGATTGAGTGTTTCTTTAATTTATTTCTATCCCTCTTAAACTGGAAAGCAAGCGTAGAAACGTGCTCTAAATCTCATAGACATTTACTGCGGAGAAGGAGGCCTTCTGGTCCATCATGCCTGCACTGTGCCAACAAATATTTGACTCCACTAATCCCATTTTACAGCATTTGACCGCAAGTGAATACCTAAATACTGCTTAATTGTTACGAGAGTTTCTGACTCAACCATCCTTCAGACAATGAGTTACAGACTCCCACCACACTCTCAGTAGAAAATAAAAGTCTTGTCCACTCTCCTCTTAGCCTTCGACTTCTTAATTTATGTCCATGCCCCCTGGTTATTGATCCATCTATTGATGGAAAGAGTCCCCTTCCTATCTATCCCCCTCATACTGTAATATGCTTCCATCAGGTCACTCTCAACCCTTGTTCCTTCAGAGAAAGCAAGCGCGATCGCCGTTTCTATCTTCTTTCCAAATGTAACAGGAGGTACACCTTTGGAATGAAGGTTCTCCCCATCCAACCTGTATTTCCTTCTAAATGTTCTGCTATTTTAACAGTCAATATGCTGGCTGGAATCATAGGGATATAACCACATTGCAAACTCATTCTGTGGCCTGTTTTAACTTTTGTTGCTCTCTCCAGACTCCTGATATCTCCTCTGCCACCTGCAATTTTGTCTAATGTTAAATTAATTACTGACAGCACTCTGGTACACTACCCAAATGGCCTCTCTTTATACTGAGGCCTAGACACTGTGTATACTGGCAGGTTACTTTGCAAAGGTGGAGATATCACAGTTAAGTCCCATTTGGTAATACTTAGCAGCACAGATCCCTGAACAGTGATCAGGAATGGAATTCTGAACTGAACTTTTTTATTTTGCTATTTCAGAGGATAGTATAGAACTTGTAGTGTGTTGCTGTGTGTAGTGTTGTCATACAGCAAGCAAACATTTAATCTTACAATTATTTTCCACAACCAGATTGTTTAAGACTGGGTAATGAGATTTCCTCATATGTTGAAAGCTTAAATTGTTTCAATATCCAATTTTGTTTCATTTTCAGATGTGTAAGTAACTTTGTAAGTAGACCTCAGCTTATATCTCTTGCCTTGAATGACACGTAATGTTAGGTATTAAACTGGAAAAAAGAGAAGTTGTGTATTATTTGTTATTATGAGCTCAATTACAAGTATGGTCTTCTCTGCCATTGAATACCACTCAAAAAAAAAAACATTCAGTCAACCCATCTGTCTTTTCCGCTCCATTTCCAATATTACTTTGGGGTTCTTCAGACTCTTTGAAGGTGTTGTTATCTCTCAAACTATGACCATCTCTCTTTGACTCCTTCTTTCAATGTGCTGAATCAGATTTTCACCTGTTTATTTCACTTCTAACTCCACATTGTCATCTCCTGAAGTGCCCATCCTCTCCCTCATCTACATGCCACCTCTTACAGATAATATACATGATTGCAGCATTGTGCATGAATGCTGATGAAACCAAGCTTCATCTCTTCATAATATTTCTCAATTCCTCCATTGTCTTTGTATTGTATATCATTTAGTCCTGGGCTTCAAGCTTCATATCTTTAACGCCAATTTTATGCACCTTAATCTCAGTGTCATAGGCTCAGCCAGATTTGAGGTTGCAGACTTGCTCGCCGAGCAGCGTGGTTTGTTTGCAGACGTTTCGTCACCTTGCTAGGTAACAGCATCAGTGTGCCTCCGGTGAAGCGTTGGTGTTTTGTCCCGCTTGTTATTTATATGCCGCAGTTTGCTGGGATGCCAACCACCCCAGCAAACTGTGGCATGTAAATAACAAGCAGGACAGAACACCAACGCTTTACCAGAGGTGCACTGACGATGTTACCTATCAGGCTGGCGAAACGTTTGCAACCAAACACACCTGCTCGGTGAGCAAGTCCGCAACCTCCGATCTGGTTAATCCTATGACACTGAGCTACAAATCTTCTCAAACTTTCAACCAGATCTCTTGAGTTGTTGACTGCATTTTATTCTACATAGCCCTATTTCCACGTCCATGATGTAGGCAGTTTTGATTTCCACCTCAGTCCAGCTGCTGTGAAAACTTTCCTCCATGTCTTGGTTACCTAAAGAATTATCTCATACAGTACGACAACTTCAATTTCTCATCCACCACCTTCAGTAAAGTTCAGTTCTTTCCAAACCTGTATTTCTTCCATCCAATCTTGCACAACCTCCTACTGTTATCATCATTTTTACTCTGATTCCCATTGTATTTATTAGTGACTTTAATGATGGGACTGAAAGCCGTATATTTAAATTCAGTGACATCAAGACAAATGGTATCGTAAGCAGCTTATATTAAAACAAGAAAATTACAAAATTGTAATTTTTAGATTGAGCTCAAAAATTTGTAAAATTGATTTTGATTTCAGTGTAGGAAAATGTGAGTCATTACTTTGAATAGGACAGAATCTTCTGAATGGTCAAGACATAGAAACAGTGTAGCTCCAAAGTAACTTGTGTATCCACCTACCACTTAAAATTTCATGGATAGTTGCTAAAAGTAATCAAAAAAACCTAACTGGATGCTGGCCTTGATATCGAGAGAATGAAATTGCAAGGGATTAGAAATTATGCTACAGCTATACAAAGCCCTGGTTGTACATAGCTAGAAAACTGTGAGCAGTTCTGCACAGAGGTAGTAGGAACTGCAGATGCTGGAGAATCTGAGATAACAAGGTGTAGAGCTGGAT